GTTCAGAATACTCTTCTTGTCTATGGCTCTCCACCCCCATCTCTATGCTGTGGGCAGCCTTGCCAGCGCTCCTGGACTACTGTTGGCTGAAGCACTCTTTCCAGGATGGTACTTGGAACAGCTGTGCCCATGTGGGTCTCAAGAACTCTCTCTTTACTAGGCTTTCATTGCTTTTGAAAGCCTATGCTGACCCCTCTTCAAGGTTGACATATTAAGTACTGGGTTGTCGGAAAAGTCATGACGCATTTTAGCAACAAATAACATAGAAAAATACATCATGGCTTTTCCGACAACCCAATATGTTAATATTTTCAATTAGTTTATCACCAAGTCCTGCTGGCAGGGAGCCATTTTCTTTTCTTTAAGGTGACTGCCTACTCTCCACTGATTCATTACTTGCTAGAATAGGAATCTTGTTCTCTTACAGAGAAAGCTAATATTTTTCTTTTTAAGTTCTGAGGAAAGACTTCATTGTTTTTCCCCAGGCACCTCACCAGCCACTTCTTTACAGTCCCATTTGCTGAGTCCATTACCATTGCAGCTCCTAGGGGCGTAGTCCTGGGCCCTTCCCCTCTTCCACCTACTCCTTTTTCCTTGGTCACCTCAGGTAGTCTTATGACTTTAATGCTGTCTATATGCCGATGAGTCCCACATTTGTATCTCCAATCCAGACCTTTCCCCCAAGCCCAAACTCAAAATCTCCACCTGTCAATTCAAGCATTGCCAACGTAACAGATCCACAAACCACCTTTTGATCCATGTCTTCCTAGAGTATGTATCTCTTCACTGAGGTGTTCAGGCCCCAAACCATGGAGTTAGTTATCCTGTTTACTTTCTTTCTCTCTTCCCTACATCAGCAGGTCTTGTCAGTCCTACCTTCAAAATATATTCTGAACCCACTGCTTCTCCCTAGCTCCTCTTCCGCCCCCCTACTCCAAGCCACCATCATCTCCTTAGCTACAGCAGCCTCTTACTGCTTTCCCTACTTCCCGTCTTGCTTCACAACAGCAGTCAGGTGATCTAAAAACAAATCAGATCTGATCTAGCAAAGACATGAGTGCATACGTCCTACAGAAGGACAAGTATTTTCATAGCAGCTTTATTTGTAATATTAAAAAGCTTCAACTATCCATCAACCAGAGAATGGATAAACTTGGTTGCACAAATGGTGACATATTCATACAAGGGAATACTATGCAACAAATTTTTGAAAGACTGAACTAATATATGCAATGGCATAAAAAGATCTCACAAATACTAAGCAAAAGAAGCCAGACCAAAAAGAGTACACACTATACGATTCCATTTATATAAAGTACAAGAAAAAGCAAATTAATCTACAGTGACAAAGGAAATAGTGGTTACCTCTGGGCAATGGAAATGGACTGTGAAGGGGCATGAGACGAGGGAGGCTTCTGGGTGCTGCCATGCTACATCTTGATACAGTATCGTGGTCATAAGAGTGAATACATATGTAAAAAGTGCTTCATCACATTATACTCTATTACATGTACTCAGTAGATACTTGATTCGACAAGTATTTACTCAGTAAACGTAATGTCATACAATGTGATCGAGTAATTGGCTCTGGGGTTCAGACAGTTCTTGGTTCGGTCATTGCATCCACCACTCCTTAGCACGTGACCTTGGATGAGTAACTTAGCATCAGTTTTCTGACCTTAAAATGGGAGTAATAGCAGGACCTACCTTGGAGGGTTGTTATGAGGATTAACTGAGATAATACAGGTAGAACACGTCATACAGTACCTGGTGCGCTGCACAGTTCAGGAAATATTAGCTGTTACTATTTTTAGTTATTGTAGATGCCATGCACCTTTCCACCCAGTTAGGAGATACAGATTAAAAGAATGAGATCCCTTGAGGGCCCTTAAGGGATCCAGTTGACTGCAGGGATACTTAGATTGGGATCCATGGACCTTCTTGATTTTTTGCTTCAAGATATTGGATATAAATGCATATATGTATTTTTCTTGGGTAGGGTCCATAGTTTGGGTCATATTCTCAAAGGACTGCTTATGACCCACAAAACATTAAAAAACACATGGTTTAGAGCATGCATTCTCAATGGGGGCGATATCGCTCCCCAAGGGGTCAAAAATTGGTTTGGGGTAGAATCTTAGATATCATAACAGTTTGTGTTCCTCCAATGGGCCATAGTACATAAGTACATATACAGTATATCTGTGATATTAAAATTTTATACATGGGGGAGGGCAATTAGGAAAAAATGTCTCTTAGGGGGGCAATAGTAAAAAAGAAAAAGGTTGAGTTACCCTGGTTTAGTGAATAACAAACAGATGTGGGAACTGAAGTGCCTAATTGGATCAGCAATACTAGCTCTATTCAGACAATTGCTGAGCACCAACCAGCCCCTGAAAGCGCTAGAGGGCACAGAGATAAAGGAGACTTTGGGGAGTCAAACTTAATGACTAGAGGAGGCACTGAAAAATTGTTATTGAATGAATGAAAGCTCAGCGATTCTGAGAATGAAGGCCTAAGAAAATAGTGGTTCCAAAGAGAGAAGTAGGGAATTCAGCAAAGGCACTAATCTACTTTGTGATGGTGGAAATTCATCAACATGGTATCAGGTAACAGCGAAAAGTACCACACAGGACCCTATGCAAAAGAATACGCAAGAAATATGAGAATCATCTGCATAACGATAACAGTGGTTGAAGTCCTTGAGGATCAATTAGAAGAGTCAATTCATTTGATAGATGACATGGAGGCAGAAAGGACAGAGAGGCTGAGGCGAAGCCTTCCACCACTCGGTGCTGGCCTCTGGCAGCTGGGGCCAAGGGTCAGCTGCTAGCTCTGCCAGGTTCCAAGGGCTCTGGGACCGCAGCTTATGACCACATCAAAGCAATTTTATAGCACAGCGCTGTTTGAAATGAAGAGTCAGTTAATCCCACTATGATTTAGAAGCCTGGCATCCTTAGCCACTCATGGTATGAAATATCACGCCTCCTCTTCCCCGAGCTTTAGGTAGACATAACCAGACATCCATTAGATGTCTCACAACTCCCCTCAAAGTCAACATAGCCCAGAATGAATGTGTTGTTTCCATCTTGTGCCCCCCCCCCCGCCGAAGTTCTTCCTGCTGCACTCTCACCCGATTCCCCTGCCCGCTTCCTTCACTACATCCAATCTAACATCAAGTCCTATTTTGCCTTTGGAATAGCCCCCCAATGCATCTCTTCCTCTTCGTCCCAGCTCCTGCCACAGCCCTCGTTTAGGATCCCAATCTCTCACCTGAATTATTGCCAGGTGCTTCATTTATTACTCGCCCCCGTCTTCATCTCTCCCAGATCTACTCTACACTGCTGCCATGGTTCTAAAACACAAATCTGTCACTCCTTTGCTTAAATCCCTACTGTGGCGTCCCACCATGGATAACAGCTTCCCCACCAGTGTGCCTTGACAATGTGCCGGTATGAATTCCCTCAGTGTGGGCTGCTATGCTAGGCAGAGCCTGGGAAGGCTGGAGTTCCTGGGCCGCCTCTCCCCCCACTCCCCACCCCCCCACAGTATGCTGTCACATGGCACCGTGCCACGGTGTGAAAAGGGGCTGGCCAGGAAGCAAGGACCTATGGGAGCTCCCCACCTGGCTCCGGCCTCATCCTGCCTCCAACACCAACAGCTTTTGCGCTTTACCCACCATGCTGTTTATTGATCTCTGCTTCTGCTGAGACATCTCCCATCCACCTGGATTGAGCTTCCCCTTCACCTTGGCCTTGGAAACTTCTACCCCTCTGTTTGGGTATCACTTTTTCCCAGGGAGCTTTCTCTCTTAGATACCCTTCCTCGTGCTCTCAAAATATTTTGTTTCATAATAATCTCTTCTTGTGATTGGGTAGCAGAACTGCCTTGCTCATCTCTGCATCCTCAGCTGCCCCAGCAGCGCCCTTAAAATTGTTACATGAAGGAGAGTGATGCAAGGGAACAAGAGGGACAGGCTCACCTTTTCTTGCTGAGGGTTTAGGAAATCTCATGGTTACGTAAGTCAAAAAAACAGCTTCAAGAAGGGGGGTGACCTAACAGGATTAAATGTGGCAAAGAACAGAAAAAACGGTATTGGATTGAGTCTAGTTGCAGAAAATCTTGGAGCCCAGATTTAAATGCAATATAAATCAGATTTGGAAGGACTGAGAAATGAGAGGAAAAAAAAAAGGAATGATACAAATCCCCCATCCAAGATGTCTGGCGGTAAAGAACAGAAGAAAATGAAGGTTTACAAAGTTCCTAATGTTCCAATTTCAACTTGGTGTTTGCTATTACATAAAACGTGCATATGGTTCCAAACAAAACCACACACATGTATGCTCGGAGAAATCCAGCTTCTCTCCATCCCCCTCACTCCCCCAGTGGTATTAATTTCCACTAGTTCTTGGTTTATTCTTCCATTTTTTAAATATAAACAGAGGTATATAATATTCTGGGCGACCGCTCAGTTGGGTGAGGTGGCCCACGATACATTGTTCTACACGTTCTTTCCCACTTACTACACCCTGGACATCTCCCTTCACGACAGCAGGAGCATCTTCCTCATTCCTTTCTACTGCAGCTCAGTACTCCAGGGTGTGGATTTACCCATTTATTCAACCGGTCCCTGCCTGATGGACAGGAGTTGTTTTCAATTTAGTTATTACAGAGCTGCACCGAATAGCTCTGTGCATTTTACGTCATTATTTCCAGCGCATCTCCAGGAACTTTATTTCTGTTTTGACTTAATATTCATAGTAACCCATGCCACCGATATTGAGTCTCCATCTTATAAACTGCACGCGTAAGCCTCATGTAAGGAAACAGCTGCTGCAGTCCACAGCAGTCCAGCAAATGTAATAGCAGTTACACAAATAAGCCCTTAAAAGGTGGAATAAAAAGCCTCGCTTCCACCTTACCATTCCTCTCCCAACAAACTGACATCTCTTCTCAGAGAAAAAGAGAAAAGTTACTTTGCCAAGGAAAACACCACAAAGTATAAAGAAGGAGTTGAGTTTTTATTATCTCTGTGCATTTGTAAAACACCTAGGACCAACACAGAAAAAATAAAATAAAACCTATGAAAAAAAGCACACTTAAAAAAAGGCCTGAGAGGGATCGGTGCCTTAGCCCCAGGGAGCTACAGCAACTCTGATTGGTCCAAAGAACTGAAAAGGTACTGGGAGACCATGACAGGTGGAAAGAGAATGAGGACTTACTGGGGGAGAGGGCCTCGCAGTGGGCCACGAGGGGGAACCGGAGGCCGGGGAGTGGGTCTGGGCGGAGGGAGGGGCCCCCGCTGGTAGCCGTAGGGTGGGGGTCGTGGAGGGCCAGTGTATCCATGAGGGGGCATCAGTGGAGGAGGCCCACGCATGCCGTGTGGTGGCATAGGACCTGGGTGACCTGCAGGAAGAGAAAGAGAAATTAGTAAAAGAAATAGGATGGGCGGCCGGTGAGCTCAGGTGGTTAGAGCACAGACTCATAACACCAAGGTTGCCAGTTCGATCCTCACATAGGCCACTGAGCTGTGCCCTCCACAACTAGATTGAAACAACTACTTGACTTGGAGCTGATGGGTTCTGGAAAAACACACTGTTCCCCAGTAAAAAAAAAAAAACTTCTAAAAAAACAAAACAAAATTGAAAAACAAATAGGAGACAGCTGACGCTGGGAGAATGCAGGGAGAGGGCAGACAGCGAGGCAGTGGGAAGAAAGCAGGGAAGAAAAGGGGTGTGACAGGGGGCCCCAAGAATACGATATATGAGGATGAAGGAGGTGGCCAGAGCCTACTCACCCATGGGAGATCCAAACGGAGGCCCTCGGGGGGGCATGCCCATCGGAGGAGGTCCGGGATGAGGCATTCCGGGTGGTGGTCTGGGTGGTGGCTGCCCCCCAGATCCTGGCGGCCCAGCATGGGGGTGTCCTAAGCCATGAGGGCCATGGTGGGCCAGCTGCATCTGAGACATCCCTAGGAAAACACAACAGACATGTAAGAGAAAGGAGACAAGGGCAAAAAAATGGGGAAGGAAAGAAAACAAAACAGAGAGTGAAGGGACATGAGGAAGAGTATGGAAAATGAGCCTGGTAAAAAGTGCCCTTCTCCTGGACCCCATGTCAACTGGACAAACCAACCAGCTACCCAGTCAGTTCCTCATCCACTTCACCTGCTTCTCCCATGATTTAGGCACCGTAAGAACCGCAGGAGTAGGTAACACAGGGAGCGGTCTGTTGATAGGATATGGGAAGGTAGCAGATACTGTCTGAGCAAAGATCTGTCTAAAGGATAAGGAACAATTATTCAAGTGGACAGAGTGGGACTAGAACATCGCAGGCAGAAAAGGTTAGAATGTGCAAATCACTGGTGTGGCAAGTGGCACAGTACGTCCCGGGAAAACCAGCTGCTCAGTCATCAGGGGCATCAGGCAGTCATGGGAGAAATGGGCAGGGCAAAGAAAAGCCTAGAATGCCAAGGTCACGAGGCTGGTTTTACTCTGCAGCAATAGAAGAATTTTGAGCAAGAGTGTGTATGTATATGTCTGTGTTTGAGAAAATTTACTCTGTGAAGTGGATCAAAGGTAGAGAAGACTGGAGTCAAAGTGTGAGTTCGGAAATTCCAACAATAAATCAGGTGTGAAATAATGAGGGTGTGAGGGCCTGAACTAGGGCACTGGTAGTGGGAGCCGATGCCAGAGATATTAATATTAATAAGACGTGGTATCAAGAGTGGAGTGATAAAGAATAGTCAAACACAGCCTCCACATTTCTGAATTAAGCACCCGAAAACCAAGAATACTAGAGGAAGAATAGGGATGAAGGGGAGGGGTAGGAAGTGGAGCTGTCCACTCAGCAGCAGGGTTAAGGGTCTGGAACATGAACAACCATGGACCAGAGATACAGGTCTAGGAGGCATCAGTGTACAAGTAATGGAACTATGCAGAAAAGAGAACCAAACACAAAACCTAGGTACAAGCAGAGAAAAAGGAGCCTATTAGGGTGCCCAAGATTGAGAAGACAGGTAGAGAGAGGATCCAGAAAAACCAAAAGAGACAAGATTTCCAAACAGGAACACGTGGCCAGTTTCAAGCAAGACCACAGGTCAAACCCGATAAGGAGCGGAAGTGTCCCCTAGATTTGGCAATTAGGTCACTCCTGTGGGGTGAAAGTCAGAGGAAACAATGGAAGTACAAGGTAAGGAAACAAAAAACAAGAACAGTTGTACACTTTGGAAAAACTTAAATAAGAAATAGAGACAGGGTGGTAGTTTTCAAGTAAAGAGGAAAAAGTATCTTGTGTCTGTTTATAAAAGAACGTCTGAAGGACAGCTCTAGAACTATCTATTATTGTTGAGGGACAAAGCGTAGCAGTGTAAGTATAAGAGCTCCTCTTCCCAGCTCATCCCTCCCTTTCCCAGCAAATACCCACCTGGATGGGGTATCCCACCGGGGGGGAATGGGTGAGGGTGTGTGTGTCCGTGTCCAGGATGTCCAGCCCCTGGTGTTCCTGCTGCTGGGGGGCCATGTCCTCCAGCCCCAGGGGGCATCGGTGGTGGGGGCATGGCTGGGGGTATCCCAGGCGGAAGGGCTCCCGGAGGTGGCACTGGGGGTGGGAAGGAGCCAGGAGGAGGCATGCCTAGAGGAAACAGAAGAACAGTTAATGAGAGTGAGGAGAGAACGTCTTTAGAGAACCTGTGCCAATCTGGCCTCTCCAGGCAGGACGAGCGCTTTCCCCCTCCTCCCAGCCAACACACACAACTTCAAACTCCTGGAGAAATTCGGCGGCTTTCCTCCCCACCACAACTATTACCCTTCAATCCCCTTCTCATCACCCACTGACTCAACGCTCCCCTTTATCGGTTCTTTTTCTTCTTCCTGCCCCACCCCCCAAACCCAAGACAAACATATTGTGAATCAAAAGCTTTACCTGGTGGAGGAAGTCCAGATCCCAGTGATGATACCACAGGGTTGGGGGCAGAGGGTGGAGGGGGTGCATCTGCAAACAGCTGATGAGGGCGGTCGGCCTGGGAGAGTGGGTTCTGGGCTGCCAGAAGTCGTTCGGCTGCTGAGCCATGGCGCTCACCCTTGGAGTCCTTCTTGAAGGCATAGGACACCGTGATGGGGCGGTTACAGAGGTACTGCCCGTTCATGGCTTCAATGGCTGCATCCGAAGCATCAAACGAAGCAAAATTAATAAAAGCATAACCTTTGGAGTTGCCTGTGTCAGGGTCCCGCATAATCTTGGGGGTTTGTAAGATGACCCCAAAGGCGCTGAAAGTATCATAAAGCAGCTTCTCATCGATCTCGGGGTCCAGGTTCCCAATGAAAATGTTGGCCCCCACATCCAGGTTTTTGTTGTGAGCTGATGCCTTGTTCACCCGGATTGGCTTCCCATAGAGTTTGATCATGTTCATGATCTTAATGGCATAGTCAGCATCTTCCTCACTCAAGAATTCCACAAAGCCGTAGCCTGGGAAAGTGGAAGACAGGGGGTTAACAACTGAAGTGGTTAAAAATAGGGTGTAACTCATCCATCTTCGAAAGCACAGAGAACAAAAAATAATAACCTCACTTCAATTAAGAATGGTTCCAGAAACAAACGTGAGCTAGGTAGCCTTGAGAGAAAGAAATGTTTAGGATGCTTATTCCAAAACGCTTATGAATACCGGGGGCCCTCCAGGAGCAGTCTGTCCCCTCGATATATAATTGGGAGGTACTCACCTTGGTGCTGACCAGTGACTCGATCCTTTGGCATGTGGGTGTTGACTACCGGCCCTGCCTGGAGAAACAGCTCCCACAGTAGCGGTTCGCTAACCTTCTCATCCAGGCCTCCCACGTACACAGTGGCATCTGGATGGTGTGAGCAGCAGAGATGAGTATGACATTCAAGTAGATGCCAGGAACATGAAGATGGAACCCAGGTGGGAGAATTGGTGGAGACGGGGTATAGGAGCAAAAAGGGGGGGAAAAAAAGACTTTTAAATTAAGCCCTTACACCTCCCTCTTTCTAGGAACTAGAGACTCTTAAGTCTAATTTAGAGTTCTGCTGCAAATTCTCTTTTTGGTTTTTTTTTTGAGTGGGAAAGCAGGCGATTGAACACAGAAAGCATCACACCTACAGACAGGCCTTAGCGTGCACCGGGCCACCCCGCCCCCAACAAGCACAGTGGCCAGTCTCGCGCCCTCCTGGGTGGCCCAGTCTCCCGCCCAGGCGGAAACACTGCTGGCCCTACTCGGGACGGCCCAGCCCGCCCCCATGGGCCCATTCCGGGCTTGTCCCGTCCAGTCACCCTGGTTCCGCTCGGAGATCGGCCCGGCCGCCATGATGGAAGAGCTCCCGCCGTCTCCAAGCAGCGATCCCGCCCTCCGAACTTAGTCACCACTTCCACTTCCGGGGCGAAGGCAGTCGTGAGGGCGGTGGGCGGGGCCCCGACGTGGGGCGGGGCCCCGGCGTGGGGCGGGGCCGGAAGGGGCCGCGGCCATCTTAGGAGCTGCTGGGACTTGCTGCGGCCCCGGCGACGGGTTGTTCTGGTCCTTGGTGCTGCTGCGAGCTGCCACTGTGAGCGCTCAGGGCGAGGAAGGCGGAACGGAAACGCTCAGACCCCCTTTCAAGGCAGTGCAAGACGGTACAGGATCACACTGCTCCCAAAACGTAAATTTGAAAGCTAAAAAAACAAAACTTTACATTCCATACATATATTTTCTTGCCAAATGATCGGTCATTTGTTCCCCAGAGAAGGGTGTGCTGAGGACTCGGCTGCCTTGTGCGTAGAGGTAGCCCTCCAGCCCGCAGCCCCAGCCTAGGCTTGAAGTAGTATTTCGTTTTCCCTCAAGGGAGGGGATTGCAGTGTGTTGGAGCTGGAGCGACGTCTAAGCTGGCTTCATGGCTGGGGGCGGGGGGTGAGGGCAACCTGAGGCTCTAGGTGTGACCAAAGCTGAGGAGTGGTTGACACAACCCAGAGGTTTCAACCGCCACAACACACCTGGCCTCTGCAACCATGCTGTGGTATACTTTTGCCCCATCTGGCACTAAATGGGAGGCGTGGAGAAGAACCTTTTTCCCAAATTGCATGTGAATTCAGCAGAGCCTCACCTGACCCAACCCCTTATTTCCTTATCAAAAATGGTATGGTGAGGGTGATCCCTCTTCAGTCACACCCACCCTCTACCCACCCCTCTTTTACCGAGGATCCTTTATTCAGACCCAAGAAACAATGCCAGCAACATGTATAAATACTGTGCTTTAATGAATCCCTTAAATAGAAATGTCACTACAAAAATATACAGTTGGAAAAGACAAGGTGTTTCCCATATCCACTCCATACCCACAGGAAGCTATAAGGGAAGAAATAGAAATTGGAATCAATGAAGCAGCAAGAGGTGAGAATGAGGTCTGTAGGCCATCTTGTTGGGACTGATGAACAACACCTCTCTGATCTCACAGTTAACAGCTGGATATTCAAAAGGGATGGAATTGCCCTGAAAAAAGAGGTGATGACATTCTGGATTGTTTTTGTTTCTAAATTCTTCAAATCACAAGAAGCTATATACTGGGAGTGCCAAAAACATGTATACAAGTGGATACTTTGGTCAGCGTTGCTCAAGCAGTAGTTCGCCGTAATCAGAAGCATCTGGACGCTGATGGGAACCACTTTGAGCACCTCTTGTAATTGCAGAAGTCAAACGTGACTTGTATTCATCTTTTGTTATCGATATATACTGAGTATTACAATTTTAATACAGTTTTCCTTTCTTAAAATGTGCATACATTTTTTTTGGCACCCTCTGTATATAATCTTGAGGAACCAAACAAGACAGACCAAGAGTTGGAGGTTAGCAGCACCCATCTGCGATGGAAACGCATCAGCGAGCTTGTGAGCTTGTTTAAGAGTTGGAGTGTGGAAGCTGAGGCAGCAAGACCAGATAAGAAAAATCGAAGGATTAGACTGAACCCTCCCTCATCTCAGACCACCTTCTGCCCTGCCCATGAGAAAGCAATTTCAGCAGGCTTGGGAGAAAAGGGTATTTGGATCTCTTTTCTTGGAGTGATCCTCAGGAGATATTCTTGGTGTCCATTTCCTTAATAGCTCCTGAAGATGGGATAGTTCATCCTGGAGGCCAGAGATTGTGGGAGCTGAGAGGCCCGTCTGGGGAAGAGTGAAAACAAGCAGAGAGGAATATTGCAGCTCCAGCTCGCTTGCTTCTAAAATCTGCCACTGCTGGTGTCTTAACTCTCTTTCGCCCTCCAACTATGCCATAAGTTCCACCTGATCTGAGCCACAAGCAGTTCCCCCACCCTCACTCCCAAACCTATCCACTTTGATACCAACAGGAATGGTACTTCACGTCCCATTCCCCCGAGCCCTTGGCTTTTCCAGCCCCTGGAAACATCTGGTTCAGCAGTCAAATCTTTCTCCGACCCCCAGGCCTTGTCTTCCCGTCTCACCTGGACCTCAGGCCTTCCCCTCAGGTAGCAGCGTCTCCAGAACCTGATCTGAGGTCCCAGATATCCAGGCAGCAGCAGCCCTGAGGGTAAAGCGCAAGCTCCCCAGTATGAGGGAAGCCCCCACTCCTGATCAGCCAGACTTTCAGAGGAGACAGCAGGTCGAGGGAGCCAACGAGAAGACAGCATGGAGGGACTGTCGCGCCAAGGACAGAGTTGATTCAGGGGGGTCAAGGCCCCTCTAGAGAAGAGCCACACAGAACTGGGGGGTCCAGTAACCATGAAGCTTGACTAAAAGGGAAAGGGAAATCAACTGGCAACCTAGGAATCAGATGACCCCCGTTTCCCCAAATTGGGTCAAGAAGGAATGTCCAGCTGCCACCCACTCAACTGCACTAGCCTCCCGCTGAGAACTTTTATCTTTCCTCCTCACTAGGTTTCAGCCTAGGCCTCAGTCAGGACTGATGAAAGTTGATTTTAGGGAAACTTGTAAAATGTGTGCATGAGACAGAAGATGAGGACAAAAAGGATGCCCTCTGCTATTCTAGGATTTCTCTGTCTTCCTGGGGACAGTCAGGGACTATGACAGCTACAGAAGAGTGGGGTAAATTTCCCTGGGAAACTCAGATACTGTAACTTTCCACTTCTCCACATCTAGTAGGACGAACCTGTGAGAAATTCAAGGGAGTTTAGGAAATTTAGACGCCTCACCTGCTGTCTAGGAAGCCAGGAATTTGGGCAGTGTTCTGGGTCATAGCCAGGATTATGGAATTGTAGTATCTGTTCATTGCTGTATCGTAAATCCCAGTCCCAGACAGACAGCTGTGGGTTAGCAGAGTTCCCAGCTGGGGGCTGGGAATACCCTGGGGTATAGACTTGTGTATAGGAGTTGAACTGGACAGAGGGAACAAGAAAAGTGATGGTTAAACAAAATATACATACAGACACGTGTGTGTGTACACACAGACATGCGCACACACATGTTTTCCTTCTCCCAGGTCTAGAGAGAAATTCTGAAATTCTTACTCCAGGAATCAGATGTAGGCTGAAAGTCAAGTCCTGAGAGTAAGCACCAGTCTCCTCCTTTCCCACCTATGGACCTCACTTTTCATAAATCAAGACTAAACTTCAGAAATTACTCAGTGTGTGTATGTGTTGGGGGCGGGGGGAAGACAAGTAAAACCAGGAAGTCACTGACCTGTCCACTCTGCTTTCCACGTTCCCAGGGAGTGTCTCTCAGGAATGTAAGGGTGTCAGGAACCCTGACACTGTCATGAAGAGCAAGAAGGAAAAACTCTGAGAATTCAAACTCAGCTGGAGACTGCTGGAGGAGTTGCCAGACACAGTCCAGGAAGAGGAGAAACACTGGGGCCTGAGAAGACGGAAATTAAAAACATGGGAGTGTGGTGACCTAAAGGGGGAGGATGACAAAATGATGGAGGACAAGGGGGACATGGAACAAGGGCCACTGAGGAGATCAGAAAATGGAATCTGAATTGAGCATATCATGGGTCCCTCACGCACCTGGGTCTCCCTTCAAGCTCAGTCTAACCTCGGGACCCTTCAGACCTTATTCACCTCCAATGGATTATACTATATAATTCCTGTTCCCCTTACTTCTTTAGTAAAACTGCCTCCCACCCAAAACTTTCCCAAGACGTTCTCACCTTTTCACTGGCCCCCGTTCCCCCAAGTCGGGTCAGGAAGGGATGTCCAGCTGCCACCCACTCTCGCTGCACTAGTGATTGGAAGCCAAGCAGTGTTCGGGCTTCAGGGGCTGAAAGCAGCTGGACGAGTGAAGAGAGGAGGCCATTGAAATCACGATCACCGCGCTCTGGGTGGTGAAGAGGGAGAAGGGACAAAGAAGGAGAGGCCAAGAAACTAGGGCAGAAGAGAATGAGAAAAGGAAACACAGCAAGAAGTGAGAGGCACAGAGGGGGAAGTTCGGGGTAGGCAGGATTGAGGGGGCGCATAGAAGTGAAGAGAAAACAAAGACCTTGAATGATTATTCACTTTATAGACCCCACCTGGATAGAAATAACCAGCCTCACATGTAGGAGGCAGAATTACAAATCGCAAACCTACTTCCACATTGTCCTTCCCACACCAACCCCAATCCCAATCCACTGATGGAAGGATGGGAACAGAGGGCAGAGAACCCTTCTGTTAGGGACCACGGGCTGTAGTAGGGAGACAGGTAGCACTGAAGGATGAGTTCAAGTTCATGGGTAGTTCATACCGAGCAAAGGGAGAGGAGGATGCTAGCACAAGGACCTGTAAGGAAGCCTTATAGGTCTCCCTCCCTGAGCAGAATCCACTCAGGTGGGTAAAGGAAAAAGTCAAGGAATGGAGTGAGATGACCCAAGAAACTCACCTTGAAGGACTACAGAGCGAACTCTGGATGTCACTAACACTGAGATGTCACTGGCCTTCCGAAGACAAGACCTGGAGGAGCAGGTGAGGAAGAGGAGGGAATGATAAGCTCGGAGGAGGAGAGTGATGGGTCATGGGATGGAATAGAGGCAGACTCCAAAATCCTGCCCCTTCTAAGGAGCAGCACAGTAATGGTCTCGGGAGACCAGGAGAGTTCAAGGAAGGCCATTTAGGTGTCCAAGTTAACAGAAGGCTGGGGAGGGTTGAATTCTAAATCATGGCTAGGAAAAGAGGGAGTACCTGATGTAGTCCAACCATCGTGTTCCTTCCAGGGCTGAGAGCCACTTATCCTCAGATACAGATGAATCTGATAGAGGGTAGAGAGGTCAGAAGGGCAGAGGTCAGGAAAACTTGGGCATCAGGATTCAGGGTCTATAGCCTGAAGGGTTAAGAATAAGTTGGGTAGTGGTTGCCTAGGGCTGGGGATAGGAATGAGAAGTAACTATAATGGCCACAAGGTTTCATGGTGATGTTTGTACAACATTGTAAATATAATAAAATTCATTGAATTGAACCCCTAAGATGGGTGAAGTATGAATTTTATGGTATATAAGTGATAATAAAGCTGTATAAGAAAAAGAATATGCTGGGGTCTGGAAGACAGGAAGTCGGTCTCTGGGATATGGGGGAGTTGAGTAGAAAGCTAAGGATCAGTGGGCTGAAGGGTCATTTGTCTATGGCAGGCAACATGGTAAAGCAGGTTAGGGTCGGCAGACCTGGGGTGGCGAAAGGGGTCAAAGGTTGTTCTCACCAGGCAGGCAGAGGGCCCTCAGCCTCAAGTGGGCGAGCTGGACATCTGCAAGGCTAGGCAGCTCATCCATAGTGTCCACCAGGACAACGTCGGAATGCCCAGCCTGGAGCAGCGACTCCACCGCTCTGGAGGGGAGGGAGTCAGAGCATAAGGGGAGGAGTCTGCCCTGGACATCTAATCTTTGATTCTTCTCATCAAACCTCCCTCACCTGATGTCCTCCTTGTTAGGGTCACTGGCTGTATAGAAGCCACCACAGCGGAGAAGATCACTGCCCCCAGGGTGATGCCAGGACAGGCGCTTCAAATGGGTCAGAGGAGGATCACTGTGGGAGAAACTCCTAGCCCCACCCTACCCTTGGCCCCACACTGACCTCACAGGAATCCCCTCCCTCCACGATGACCCCTGACCTCCCATAACCTTCTAATCCCCAGCCACTACCCTGACCCTCACACTGACCGGTCCACGGCCCTGATGGAAGTGGCCAAATGCTCTCCTGATCTCACTGTCCAGAGTTCGGATAGGGACCCAGAAGTAACGGGGGAGGCTGTGAAATTGAGAGTTATGTCACATCTTGGCTCTGTGACCTCTTTATAATGCAAAGCTGTGATTACAAGGACACCACTTAGGAGGGGATCATTCCAGGAGATACCAGGCGTCGCAATCTAGGAGGTAAGAGGGATAGCTTCGTGGATGTCCTAGGAGGCTGGAGTATGTGAGAAGCGGAGTTTTAGAGGAGCAGAGAACCGTGGGAAGACCGGGAGGGCTGCAGGATTTGGGGTGGCCTGCGGAAATCACCTGGTGGCGACGTCGAACCTCTCATTGACGAGGCTGACCCTCCAGGCACTGGCCCCCTGCTTTTCCCTCTCAATCTCCCAGTCTTCTGATGTATCCAGGAGGGGAACAGGTGGTTTTCTGGAGCCAGAAGTCTGGCCTGGGGCAGGAGTGAGGAGGAAGAGGAAGCACAGACAGCTTCTCAGCTCTTCTGTCTTCAGCCAGCCTGTTTGTTCAGACTCGCTACCCTTTCCTTACCCCGAAGCACCCACACTCACCAGCCTTGCTCAGGGTTATCCCTGCGTACTGCTGGGCTTGACTGCTCTGAGCTCTGGCCTGGACAATGGCCATGGTCACCTGTGGAGGAAAGGACAGTCCATCCTTTTGGCTCAGACTGACGTGAAAAGAAGGAAATGGGGGCCATGTGTTGCTTCACTGTCTTTGCCACCAAGAGAGAAGGACAGTGAAGGCAGTCTTTAACGAAGGGGGAGCATCCGCAGGGCTGCGGCCCGGGGTCAGGAGAATACAGAACCACAGAATCACAGAATGTAGATTCTGGGAGGAATCTCAGGAATAAACTCCAACCCTCCCTGTTTCTCAAAGGAAGACACTTGCCCACGGTCACAGTCCTGCTCATTGGCAGAGCTGGGCTAGAATTCAGGCCCGTCGCTCTCATTATATCATTGATTCCAGCCTTTGAACTTCTCCTTGAGGAAAGGAGCAGAGAGAGTGAGGAGAGGCACCCTGGGAGGTAGGGGACTCTGGGGAATTGCCAGGAAAAAAAGCCCAACGATCTAAGGGGAGGAGGGGGCCTTGCTTGGATCAGGGGCCTCTTACCTGAAAGGCCTGAGGCTCTAGTCTTCCAGCCTCAAAAGCAACTCTGAGCAGCCGGAAGTCTCGGCCATGAATCAGGATCTCCTCAGGGATAAATTTAAGCAGGGACCCTGGACGGTGGAGTTGGACTCGGGCCAGGCGGCTCACTGAAGTCAAGAGTCAGAGAACAGTGCAACCGTGGGTCAGGGTCCCTCTCGGAGGAACTCTTCCCGTCCATCTCCCTGCATCCCTGGCTGTCCTCTGAGAATGAAGGCAGGATGAGGAGGGCTTCCAACAACCCCCGTGAGCCCCTTCGCCAAGCCCCCATACTTACCAGCCTCTAATTGCCCAATGTTGACCAGGGCAAAATCATATTCACTGCTCAGGGGCATCTCCTAGAGGAAGAACATGACCGATGCTAAGACGTCTGACGTCTCACTCACCCTGTCTGTCTCTGCAGCCCCTCACCTCCCTAGAGACAGTCCCCACTGACTATCCCTGATACATCGAAAAGATAGCCCTTAAGCGTGACTCTACCTCACTTCCTGTAACATTTGTCTAAATCTTTCTAGACCCCACCCACCCCACCTGTTTCCTGCTAGCTGTCCTTTCCATTGTCCTAAGTGTCTCACCTGACTCCGCTGCCATCCACAGGGCTGGAAGGTGACCCTCAAGTTGGTGCAGATCAGTGTTCCAGGCAATTCAGGCTCCAGCCCCTTCCGCACCCCTGGAGCCCATGCTAGAATCTGCTCCCCTATAGGAGAAGAGAAGACTGGCTATGACTATTCCCAGGGTTGCCCACACTTGGATACATCGACTCAGAGGAGACAGGAGGGTCTAAAGAGGGAAGATTAAGATCCTTCTCTAACTCCTAAGGATGAAAGCTCAGGAGGAGAGAATTTGTATTCTTTTACTCTAGAGCAGCGGTTCTCAACCTTCCTAATGCCGCAACCCCTTAATACAGTTCCTCATGTTGTGGTGACCCCCAACCATAAAATTATTTTCGCTGCTACTCTATAACTGTAATTTTGCTACTGTTATGAATCATTATGTAAATATCTTTTTGTTTTCCGATGGTCTTAGGCGACCCCTGTGAAAGGGTTGTTCGACCCCCAAAGGGGTCGCGACCCACAGGTTGAGAACCGCTGCTCTAGAGCCTAGAACAGTGCCTGGTGCCTAGGAGGCACTCAAATATTTACTGAATAAGTAAATGAGAAAAGGAGTAACAGGGTCAAGAGGACAAAGGGACCATGCTCCCAGCCAGCTCTGGCCAGAGAAAAGAGCACTCCCAGGCAGAAGCACTTGGAGCAGGGAGAGGAATACGGAGGGATCTTTGGCAAGGGTATGAAGTGAGGTTTGAGTTGGATGAAATTTGAAGGTGTCTCTGGAGATTGGAAGTATCGGAAGGGCATTATTACCTGGGAGGCATCCAGAGGCCAGGCAACTGCCAAGCTGATGACTCCTGGGCTCCGGCATCCCGCTCCCCTGGACAGACTTTGGTCCAGAGAGCTGTGAAGGGTGTAGGGTGAATCCCCAGGCCTCTCCAACCCTGGGGTCTGGGACCACCTCAGCAGCCACCTTTGGAGGCCTACGCTCAGACGCTCAGGGGAAACTGAGATCCGTGGCTGTGGGGAGCCCAGGACCAGGGTTGGCAGATAGTAAAGGGAGGGGCTGGTTAATGGATAATGAGACGATGAACTTGAGACTGTGTAAAAGACAGACCAAGCTCCATCATCAGCTGGAGTTGATGAGACACACCCTCCTCCTGTTCTAGATGCTTTCCTTCCCTCTTTTATCTCCACATCATCCCCACTGACACCCTCTTGCCCACCGCGCCCCTCCACCAAGCCCGTTTCTTTTCCTTACCCCCATCTCTGGCTCCTCCTTCTGGGGGAAGATGTTGAAACTCTGGCCCCGGCCCCCCCACCACATTTCTCCGGCTCCATCCGGGGATGGAGCAGATAAGGGTGGGAAACCTTGAGGATGCTCAAGCCCCTTGGGGAGAGGCTGAATCTCGTAGTTGAGAGGAAATTAGTTAGGGAGAAGGGCGGAGGGAGGGCTTAGGGGACAGGAGCGTTTGGAGTGCACAGAGCACGATTTGGGGTCTTTGAAAGGTGTGTCCAGCTCAGCTAGAGGAGGCTCCTCGGAAACTTCAGTCGACTCCGGAGAGGGCGGGAGAGCTGCCCAGCCCCTTAAAGGAGCACACACACAATTTTGGGAAAGTGGAGGAGCTTGAGGAAGGTGAGAACAAAAAATTGGGAACTGGGAAAAAAATACTCAAGTTCCCTTTTTTACCCCGCTGCCATTCTCTTCCTGTTCTTGAGCACTGGAGACTGAGGGGTATCAAACTGGGACAATTTGGGACACTTCTCTAGACTCTCTCAGTGATGGCTTCCTTGGGAAGAAGCTGTTTTTTTATATCTTAGAGGGGGCGGGGGATGGAGTAAGTGGGAGGAACACAACGGTAGTCAAGGCTTCCTTACTGCCTCCCTGACAGACCTGACATGCGTAGTTGAGAAATGGAAATTGGACTTGAGGGGATTTTTACCTGGGAAGGCCCAAGAACTGGGGAGGGGGGTCGAATTGGTGTTTTTGTATAACCTTCTGCAGAGAGCATGAAACACACCTCATGTGAAAGGTGCAGTGGAAAAGGAGAGACATTGAAATCTCTCCAGGATGCAGACACAGGTACAGGTACGTTTATGTACATACCTGTTGTGGGGTGGGAGGCCCAAGGAAAGGATCTCACCATCTCCATCTCTCTCTCCCTCTCCCTCTCCCCCTCCTCCCCCCGCCCCTCACACACACACACTCTCACACGCAATTAGAAATTGGAGCCCATTCCTGGTACGACCCGACCCCTCCCTCCAACCCAGACACCAGATCTCCAAATTAATAATTCATGTTCCGGACTTTGAAAGCTGAAGGCTGGAAACCTCTGTTCAATTCAACAATCCCATTCCTGCCCCCTCCCCCCTGCAACCCAAGAAGCAAGATGGGGGTGGGGCACAAGGAGGTAAGTAAAGGAGCTGCAGCTGACAGTGAGGGTAGGAATGCCCAGATCTACCTTTAGGTATGAAAATGGAAATAAAATACCAAGTAAGAGTTAACGAACTGTTGTTTTATTAATTTTGAGTCGGTACAGAGGCAGCAATCCTTGGGTGGGGGACCCAGTTTTCCAAAGCGCCATTCTACTCTCTCCAACCCCCAGCCAGCCTCAGCTTTGAAAGTTCCCTGTCTTGGCTGCAACTGTGGAAATAGTGAAAATATTGTGAGGCAGGGAGTCAATCTGGAACAAAGAAGCATACACCTGCTGTGAAGGTGGCCCATAAGCCCAACTCTCAGGATTCTCCAAGTCCCAAAAGCTACCAGCAACCCCACCCCGACCTGCATTCCAGGGACCTGAGTCTCCAGGAAGAAAACACTTCCCGAGGTCTGTTGCAATAGGTGGTGTGTAGCACAATTTTAAAATCTCATTATCCACTTTCCTTGTCCCCACCACCCTTCATTCAAGAGACTCATTCTATTCTTTAATACCTTGAGGTGTAGGAAGGGCAGAGGAACCGGGAAAACATCAGGTGGGGGGGCGGGGGGGGGGGAAAAATGGGTGACTTGCCGTGGGTCAGGGTCCCTCTCGGAGGAACTCTTCCCGTCCATCTCCCTGCATCCCTGGCTGTCCTCTGAGAATGAAGGCAGGATGAGGAGGGCT